GTTTGCTGTGGGAGTCCCAATCTGGGCCATTGTTTCTAGCATATATAATAGGAAGAAGATGGCAACAGAGTTTGGTGTTATACTGGAGGAAATTAAGAAAGAGAAAGGGAAACCATCTTCCAAGCAAAGACTTGTGCTGGTGCTATGAGGGCACCATTACAGGACATTTCCCTCTGGCCCAGCGAGGACCACGTCTGTGAAACTTTGAAATGAATGATCAGTTTAGTCAGGAAGTTGATGTAGACGCTTAAAAAGAAAGCATGTGTGTCACGTTACTATTCTCTCCTAATTGAAACATTTTCGTAGAGGATTGCAAGGCCCAGGAAGTTACTGAAATTTAAGAGTCTTAGGAAGCTCACATGGTTCAAAGTTTCACAAGACCCCACCCTGAAATCTCATAAGCTGTAATAATTTCTAGAGCCAGAGGAGTTTTTGCTTATAGAGCTGCCTGAATGGTGTGCAGGGGGCTCCAGGGATGCATCTTTCTTCAGTAACCACACGTGCTGAAGCAGGGGAGTTGGACTTCTCATGATGCAGCTGCCTTAAACCATCCTTACTCCTCTATGTGAACCCCGGAAACCCACAGGCTGACTACACCAGACTTCAGTGAAGTTCTGTCTTTGGTGTATCAGCAGTGCCCTGTCTGGGTAGATAGATACTCACACCTTCCCTGGAAAGTCACAAAACAATACACTTCACTTTGCAGGGCTCTGGTGTTGCTTTATTTCATTGCAAACTTTAAAGGACCTTGCTCTTGAGCAAAAGAGATGAGTAGACCCATGTCTGTCAGGAAGGGATGATTGCTGACCCTACAGTCACAGAAGTGCCAAATCCTTTCGACATATTAATCACCCTTCCAATGGGTACAGGCAGTCAAATATTTATTTGTTAGTATTTCATTATTTTTAATCAGTTATAGAAAATAGTGTACACATTCCTTCCCCTGTTGATTTCCACCACTGAACCACTAAATTCTAAAACTGACAGTTCTGTGTCTATTTGGGAGTCCTGTTTGGTTGTGTCATGTTTCTGAGCAGTTGTATAGCCGTGATGTTTCAAGCTCTTCTGTGACATAGGAAGAAAAATGATTGTAGCATTCTGCATAAAGCTATATTGCCAAATAAAGGAGAGCATGTTTTTAGAAGAGGGAGATCCCTCTATAAAATCGTGGAAGTGTAGGGTGTATTTATATATATGGAAACTCAGATGAGTGCTGGGAAAACAAACAGTAGAGGTAGACAGAGGTTGAGTGCCTCCTCAAACATGGTTAGTCTTTCCTTACAGTTTACCATTTCCTGCCGGTGCTTTTAACATTTTGCTTTTTGTTTTTTGGGTTTTCTTCAGATAATGTGTGACCAATATCCCCAATGTCTTTGAAATTATAGATTATTCTGTTGTGTAACTAGTAACGAGTCTGTTATCAAGTGTTCATTGCTCTCTGTCATTATTTATGGGGAATTTTGGATTTCTAGAAGGTAAGAGGGTTCCTCCAGAAAGGAATTCTATATTCTCTTGACGTAGTCAACTTCAAGCAACACCTTCACTTGTGCTCTGCAATGGCAAGAGTTATCTCTGGTTTCCCTTATATTCATAGTGTAAGATTTTGGGGAGTTCCATTGTTTGGAACTTGCATGTCCCTCAAAGACCCACATATTAAAGGATTGTTCTAAGAAGGTAGCATTATTGGAAGGTGATGACACCTGTAAAAAATGGACCTAGTGAAAAGTCACAGGTAACTGAGAATGGACTGAAGGGCTCTGGAGAAATGATCATTATGATATTTGTATTTAGCAAAACTCAAAGAAACAGTGGGAGGATAGTAATAACTGTTTTTTCCTTAAAAAGCTTGTGCAGTATAGGGAATTCCAGAACAGAACACTCACGTGATGTAATAAGCACATGACCAAGTTGTAAAAACAAGCAAATAAACAAAAAACAAAACAAAATGCTGCCTCTAACAAAAGTAAGTAAATTGCAAGGAGTGAAAAAAATAAAAGAGAAGGGAAATCAAGCGTATCAAGCAGTTGCACTGTGTGGGGTCTTGTTTGAATCTTGGTTCTAACAAACTGAGTTTTTGAAATATTACAATCCAATAACAGAAGAGTGGGAGGTTCTACTAGAATGATGAAGGAAGAGTAGATTATATCATCCATTTATAGTTAGAAGACACAGCTAACAGGCTTCAAGGGCTGGATAGGGGGAAGGGACAGAGTGTGGGGGTCAGAATGTAAATTGCACTTGAGATTCTGGGGCTGCTTGTAGTAATGGATGTGAATGGCCATTAAGGGTTTGATGACACACACAATTGGTAAGCAGCCTGGGGAAGAGTGCCAAGTAGGAAGAGGATGTGTCTGTAGGTAGATATAGACTCCTGATGGCAGAGAAAAGATCTGGAGAGGTGTGGGCTTCTGGTCCAAATGTAAGGGGCTCTCTCTAGAACCCTGTCCTGGCAGCTCAATGCTGTTCTGAGCTTTCAGGGAGCATCTTATAGAAGCCTTTGGGAAACTTTCCTGTTTAAAGGATAATCCTTGTTCTGTGGCCACTGTGCTAGGCACCCACCCTGGTTCTTGTGCATACTTAAAACAAAACAAAAGGATAATACCTGCACATTTTTAAAAAATGGAACCAGTTTGCAGATGCAAAGACAGATCCTCCATACTCCATAGGAAGGCTTGTTTTTTACCATCACCAAAAAGACAGTATGTTGAAGAGTGGAATTCCTGTTTGTCAGGAAAGTAATAACTTCAAGAGCACTGCGGTGGTTTTGTGGATACAAAGCATCTTTACTAGTACCAGCTCCAATGAGACCAATGTTTTTAGAAGAGAGAAAACATGGAAAATACTAGCAAGTAAGAGTGATGGCAAGAAGTGTGCCTAGGGTAGGGACTGCAGGAACTGTTGTCTTCAAGACATGAAAACCCAGAGCTAGAAAGCCTGCTCACCTTGATAGACCTCACAGGGTTTGACTTAAGGAAGAGAGCACGTAATATAAAGCATGTTGACCATTTGCTTCATAGCTTTCTATACTTCTATCACTTGGAGAAATAATGAATTATTCTGCAACAACAACCAGGGGCAAGTTCTAAAAGAGTGCCATTAGGGCACTGAATAAATTAACTGCATTTTGCAGTGACACATGTGGGACCCAGACAAGGTTGACATAATAATAACAATAACAATAATATCTTATTATTATTGTTGTTATTGTTATTATTATTTATTGGTTTTTCAAGACAGGGTTTCTCTGTGGCTTTGGAGGCTGCCTGTCCTGGAACTAGCCCTTGTAGACTAGGCTGATCTCTAACTCACAGAGATCCGCCTGCTTCTGCCTCCTGAGCACTAGGATTAAAGGCATGGGCCACCAATGCCCGGCAAGATTAACATTTTTAAAATTTCAGTTCTCTCCACACTGATGCAGGAGCACTCCCTTAGGGGCATGTATATCCTTACAGGGTGGCAACACAAACAGTTTAGCTCAAACAGTTAATTTATCAAGTCAGAATGCACAGGAAAGGCTGTCCAAGTGAGTGTGTTAATGTTTCTGTCATCCAATCATCTCACAGCACCAGAGTAAGTGGAGGCAAACAGCAAAGCATTTAACCAAAACAAGAGCTAGACAGGCTTTCAAAGACCACCCAAAAAGTGTCAACAGGGCCCGAGAATCCCGAGTCTCAAAATGCCAGAACTGCAAGCAGGGACAGCCAGAGGCTGGGGGCTGGCTACAATTTCTTCTCTTCATTGCATCCTGAATTGTGGCACACAGGTAGCCCAGCAAACTCACTGTCACTGGCGGCCACGTGGTCCCAACCAGCTTCTATGGTTCTAACTGCTCTTCTTGTCCAGCCCATTTCCATGCCATGTTCACATGTGTATCTGCATGGCCGGCCAAGTTTTTACCCACCCGTTCAAACGTGCAGCCTATTTACTCTCATGGACCACATTGAGGGAGAGATGGTGCTTGTGGATCCACCCACTGCAGCCTCCACTGGCTCTGCGCTTTGTTTTGCTCCAAGTCACCATGACCAGAGTAATGACCGCGGTGGGCACCTGACTGTGGGAACCTTCTAAACCATTTGGAAGCAGCAGAAATGACAGGCTCTACCTGGGGATGCTGGGCTTCCCACTGCGTGCTTTCCATCCCTTCCGGTGGGAGGCAGGAGGGCGACGCCCTTGCCCTGCTAAGGCACAGTAGGTGTTGGGTGTGGCCTCGAGGGTGAATTTCAGTTGGTAATCCAGCCATGGAGTTTAGGTGAGGCTGAGGTTGGGTTTCTCAGCCTCCACAGGAAAAGGCGTTCCTGGGAAAACAATATTCTCTCGGCTTTCTCTTTTCTTGATTTTTAAAATGTTAAGCAGTTTCCTCAGTCCTGCCTGCTGTCCATCCCTCCCTGTTTGGGAGACACACATGCACACACCCCACGCTCGAACTTGTTTCCACTGCTCCCCAAGTTTTCAGCCCGAAGATTGAGGTAGGGGAATGATCAGCTTACTTCTGCCTACTGATTTACGGAAAGCCAAGTCAAAATTAACCAGTTCCGGCCCAGAAATCGACCACAAACCTTCCCTCCCTGAACATTGGCCTCTGGCAATCAACAATTTCCTTGTGTCTTGCGGGACCCGGACCAAGGGGCAGCCAAGTGCGCAAGGCACAGTCACACCCGGTGACTAATTCAGCACTGTCGCCTTTCTCTTTTCCTTGGCAACAAACTGAGCCCTGATTTCTCCAAAAGTACCTGCCACTTGGTGGTAGGAGCCATTCCTACCAACGCACCCCCTTCCCGGGACCCGCATCTCAGCGGCGCCTCCGCATCACACCCGGAGCTCGCCCAGTCTTGCACAGCGCCCTCCTCCCCCGCGCGCCGTAACCCCCTCCCTGCGCATCGCTTGTACTCTCGCCACGCCGCCGCCCGCCACTGCAGCACCAAGGGGCGGAGGAGGCGGAGGAGGACCGCAGCGTGGCAGCCCCGAGCCACTTTCCCGCCCCTCCTCTCGCCGCCCACTAGCTCAAAGGAGTCACCACTGCGCGCGCTGCAGGAGAGAGTGGCAGAACGAGTCAGCCCCGGGCAGCAAGCGGAGGGGTGCCCGCTCGGCGACCGCTGCAGTGCAGACACCACTCAGGGCAGGGGGTCCCCGGCGGCTGGAACGGTGAGTAAGGAGTGCCCGGCAATTTTGGCGAGAGGTCTCTCTCTGGTAGATTCCTCTTTTGAGCCGGGAGACTGAGCGTTGCAGCCAGGGAACTTTTTTCAGCCTCGGAGAAGCGCAACTAGCTCAACTTTGCCGGCCCTGGGCCCGGGAAAGCGGCTGCAGGTGTGGAAGACGTTCGGCAGGTCGCCTGTGTTGGGATGGAAAGGGGGGCAATCTCATGCAGGCAGTGGAATGACACCGGGTTCACTGGACTGGGCCAAGTCAAAGGCGCGCTATGCCCAGGACTCCGGGGCAGGTGGGTGGGCAGCAGCAGGCGTTCAGGGCTGCCCCTGAAGGCATTTCCAGGCTTCTTTACTTGGGTGGGGGGCAGGAGAGAATATTCAAATCAGGCAGCTGGGAGCGCCCGCCATCACTGCATCCGGCTCAACTTTTCTGCGGGGATCCCTCTGCAGATGTGCTGGTGGTGGAAAAGCATGGGGAGCCTCAGTCAACTCTATGAGAGGCTAACAGAAACCCCGTGAATTTTCAAAGCCTTCCACAAAATGCCCCTCTCCTCAAACCCGCGAGTAGCTTCTGTGTGTCCGCATCAAAAGGCTGAGACCCGAGAAGCGGGCGGGCTGTGGCCCTTTGTAAGAATCCACACTTCTCTTACAGGGCACCCCCATTCAGCAAAATCCTATCGAGCTTCCACTTTGCGCCTGGTGCAGCGAAGCGCATCTAAGAGTGCGGGGTTCTAGGGAGAGAGACCTACCCCAGTAAAAGTGATGAGATGGTGGTGGTGGTGGTGGTGGTGGTGGTGGTGGTGGTGGTGGTGGTGGTGGTGGTGGTGGTGGTGGTGACAGCAACTACTACTACCGAGGTCTCTATTTAAGGCCAAAAGGAAATGGGGTGACAGCCCACCATCTTCTCTAGGTGGACTTTTCTCCTCCTAACTGGCTCTAGAATTGGAGTACTTTCTCCCTCGTGGCTGGGACTCCTCTGATCCGCCCGGGAAGATTATAGAATACAGGAATGAACTTGACTGGGGTAGCCAGCACCCCACAGCAGATGCAAGGAACATCTCTGTGGGCGTGCGGGAACCTCAGGCGCCACGCGCGGGGGCGGAGAGGGAGGAGCTGAGTCACCAGCTCTGGAGGTACCGCCTGGACCACGAGAGCGGGGGTGGGGGGCGCTCGCGTCACCCTCTACGTGTGGGCGTGATGTCAATGCTGCCCCGCGATGGGGCGGGCGCGGCGGGAGGGAGGGCTAGGAGACCCAGTCTGTCTGGGAGCGCGCGCGCGTGTGTGCGTCAAAGGCTCCCAAGTGATGGATGCCCCGCGGCACGCCCTCAGCAGACAGCAGCAGACTGGGGGCACTGGGGTGGGAGGATAGACTGCGGCAGGGAAAGCCAGGCAGGACAGAGCTGCTGCAAGGCTAAGGGCTCCGCAGTGCGCCACAGTGGCAGCATTGGGAAAGGCGTTGGCCATCAGGGCTCTCCTGGGTACCCAGTGATAAGGTGTCAAAAAAGTCTCTTGAGGGATGCCCTGTGTTCCTTTCTCCCGCTGGACTCCCTTCTTTCCTACTTAGAGGATTGACCACGGAAATTTTTATTTTAACCCTTTCCAGTCTAGTTCTTGTCCTTAGCTTGAGTGAGAGACAGTATTCTTAGAGTCTATTCATTTTACCTTAGAGCGCTTCGAAAGACCTAGTGCTCACTGCAAGTTTTCAAGCGAAAGCTTTCATGGGTGGCTGAGCTCACCAGGTTCTCCAACGCCAATACATTCCTTGGGGCTTTAGGCAGAGCTCTGTGTCTAAGTGGGATTTGAGTATGGCTCAGAAAACAACTTAGCGTTTGTTTTTTTTTTTTTTTTTTTTTTTGTTTTTTGTTGTTTTTTTTTTTTTGCCATAAAATGTGTATTAAAATCACTGCCTATCTTGCGTTTCCTGGTGAAAAATTAAAAGTCCAATCTACCTTTTTTTCTGTTTTTTTTTTTTTTTCCAAATCACATTTTGTGAAGCCAATAGCAAAGCCTTGATTGAATGAGCCCACATCTGTAGTGTGAGACAAGAGGTATAACGGGGATGTCTGGCCAGCAAGGAAGAAAAGGGAGAGGGAGGGGAAGAAAAGTAGTCATCAAGAAACCGAGACAAAGAAAGAAACAAACAAACCCTAGGCAAAGATCTGACTTGCCATGTTTCCAGAGATGATGGTGACCTGCGGCCATCCATCCTCCACAGCAGAGAATGATGAAGAACAGTCCCTGGCAGGCCTCCTTTCTCCAGAGCCGTGTTCAGACAGCCTTGGAAGCACAAACTATGTATGAGCACAAGATAGGAAATGAAACCCTTTCTGGAAGAAGGAAAAGTTTTCTTAAAAAGAAAAGTTCTGGAGCCTTCCTCTCCCAGCATTGTTTCCTTAATGAAATTTGGTGTTCAGTGCCAACACACGCAGACAATGGGCTTTTTCTTAACATTAAACTAAAAGCCAATGCCATTAGCTGCTGCCTGGAGAAGGCGGGAGGGGAAGGAAGGGTCCGAGGACATCTGGCTGCTGTGGGTGATGTTGTGGAGAAATACTTGTACTTGTCATGGCTCTGTGGCAGGGGAAGTCTCTTCTCTGGCCTGACAAATAGATTCACCTGAGAGCTTTTCGGTAACAATTGTGCTTATTCTGTTAAGTTCCTTAACTGTGGATGATGCTTCAAAGGGCAAGATGCAGTTCCCAGCCTCAGGAAGATTACCAGGAAGATGTCATAAAGTGTTGTAGGTCACATGGTCACCAAGCAAACATCTTCTCATGCTTAGGAATGTGAGCTCTTATTCTGAATAAATTTGTTGATGAGATTTTTTTTTTAATGGACACATTCGATTTGTCAATGTGTTGCCTTGGCCAGCTCACTCTTGCTGTTCATCTTACCAAGCCTAATGGTGGATGGTGAAAATGACAATGCTCTTCAGACTCTACAGTGGCATTAGGGGAGAAGCTACAATCCACCATGTGTTGTCCTGGTTCCTGGTGGTTGGATCTGTTTAAACACATCCTTTAGTTCAAGTCTGTTTGCTAGCATATGAGAGGCAGGTCTGTCCCGTCCTCCCTCCCTCCCTCCCTCCCTCCCTCCCTCCTTCCCTCCCTCCCTCCCTCCTTCCCTCCCTTCCTCCCTCTCTCCCCAGATATATACAGTTTTCATATATCACTACATTGTCTTCCTATTTTCTTTGCTTTTTAAAACTCTCTTTGCAATTGAAAATCCAATGTAAAATTTTGAAGTGGATTGAGGGGCTTTCTTGAGACAGCTAAAGATAACAGCAGGGTGAGGTTACCATGTTAACTCTTGATAGACATATCTTAATAGTATAAGAAGATACCCCCTTTTTTTTTTAATCACAAACACTCCCTCCCTTGTGAGGGCCAGTTAGTAATCACTACACAGCATGGCAGATTACCCTGTTGAGCCAGTAGAAGAACAGGAAGTAAATAAATAGATTGAGTGAATTGGGTATTTTGACCTTAAAATCTTTCATGCTAGGAAATTGAAAAACATATGGTGAGTTATACTTTAAACTTTAATCTTGTTTACGTGTAGACTATAAGATGTTTTTATTAGCTCGTTGAATTTTACATGGAGCTCTGTTTTTTTTAGAGCAAGTGGTCCATTCCATTCTGTGTTATGCTCTTTAGAGTATGTGTAGCCTAATTTCTAATGAAGCCATTTTCAAAGCTTTGATTTTTGCAACATTTTGTTAAAATGGGATAAATATTTTACTTTTTTTTAGCTTGTGAAATCCTACTTTATATGGTACCATGTGGGGTTTCCCCCAGTTTTAAAATCTGTGGTGAAATACGTAAATGTCGTATTGTTACCATCTCAGAGTTGAAGTCCAGTGACGTTAAGCGTGTCTCTGCTGATATGCCACCATCAGCACCAGCATCCAGAAATTCTCGTTCACCTCCGAGAACTCGAACCTGCACCTCTTGAATGAAAACCCTCATTCTGTTCCCTCTATGCCACCTTTGGTCTCTAAGGAGCTCATAGAAGGGGGACCTGCATCACTTGCCTTTTTGAGGTTGCCTTATCTCTCTTGGCATAATTTCCAGAAGTGTCCTCCATGTTTTAACATGTATTAGAATTTTCCCCCTTACTAAGGCTGAATGATATGCCACTGTGCACATAGATCAGGTTCTGCTGGTTATTTACCTATGGGCACTCGGGGTACTTTTATATTTTAACTATTAATAGTTCTGATCCCCTAACTTGGTATATAAATGTCCTAAGACTGCACTTTCAATTCTTTGTAGCATATATCCAGAAATAGAACTGCTGTATCATGTGTTCCTTATATTTTTATTTTTTGAGAAACTGGTATCCTTTTTCTTCCACAGTGATTATATCATTTACAATTCCCTCTAAAACAGTGGTTCTCAGCCTTCCTAATGCTGTGGCCCTTTAATACAGTTCTTCATGTTGTGGTGACCCCCAACCATAGGGTTATTTCTATTGCTACTATATGACTGCAATGTTTCTATGAATTGTAATGCGAATATCTGTGTTTTCTGATGGTCTTGGGTGACTCCTGTAAAGGGTCATCACCTCCCCCGCCAGGGGGTGATGACCCACAGCTTGAGAACTGTTGCTCTACAATAAACAAGAATACCCATTACTTCTCTCTATAACCAGTATTTCTATTTTCTTGTTTTATTTTTTGTGCATAAGTGTATGCACATGGAGGCCAGAGGTTGGGGTTGGCTGTCTTTTCAGTTACGCTATCTACGCCTTATTTTGGGGACAGATCGCTCACTAACCCTGGAGCTCACTGTTTGAGCTAGATTGGCCAGAGAGCTCCATATGTCTTGCTGTCACCACCCACCCAGTTCTGGCATTACCTGTCCATGCTGCTGCACCCAGATTTGTATGTGGGTTTAAAGCCCATGATCAAGGAGCCATCACACTCAGAGCACACTGATGTCCCGTTTGTCGCAGGCGAAGGGACAAAGCAGCTCCTGTGCACTTCTTTTTATAGGA